AATGGTGTGTCCGAACGGAGAAATCGGACCTTGTTAGACATGGTCCGTTCCATGATGAGTCTCGCTGAACTACCAATCTCTTTCTGGGGTTACGCTCTTGAAACCGCTGCATTCATACTCAATAGGGCTCCAACAAAGGCTACAGAAAGGACACCATATGAGATATGGACAGGAAAGGTTCCTAGTCTAGCTTTTGTGAAGATTTGGGGTTGTCAAGTTTATGTAAAACGTTTACTTTCAAATAAACTTGAACCCAAATCAGATAAGTGTTTATTTGTGGGTTATCCTAAGGAAACAAAAGGATATTACTTTTACAACCCATCAGAGAACAAAGTGTTTGTTGCTCGTAATGGTATTTTCTTAGAAAGAGAATTTCTTTCCGAAAGAACCAGTGGAAGTAAAATTCAGCTTGAAGAAGTTCAAGAAGATCAAGATAGTCAGACTATGCAAGCAGTCCCACAACCTCAGCCACAAGTTGTTGTGGATACGTCTGAGATAACACTCGCTCCAAGGAGGTCATCTAGGGTGCGTAGAGAACCGGTTAGATACATGTTTATCTTAACTGAGCATCGCGACGTATTATTGATTGACGAAGATGAACCTTTGACCTACCAAGAAGCAATAACGAGCCATCACTCCGATAGTTGGCTAGAAGCCATGAAATCCGAAATGAAATCCATGGCTGATAATCAAGTCTGGGACTTGGTTGATCTACCTGATGGTTGTAGAACCATTGGGTGCAAATGGATCTACAAAAAGAAATTGGATAAAGATGGCAATATAGATGTGTATAAAGCACGTTTAGTGGCGAAAGGTTACAAACAAATTCATGGTATAGACTATGATGAAACATTCTCGCCAGTTGCCATGCTTAAATCAATTCGGATTCTCTTAGCAATTGCCGCTCATTTTGATTATGAGATTTGGCAAATGGATGTCAAAACTGCTTTCCTAAATGGAAATCTAGAAGAGGACGTGTATATGATACAACCTGAGGGTTTTGAACATCCAAGTAATGCTGGGAAGGTTTGCAAGCTTAAAAGATCAATTTATGGTCTAAAGCAAGCATCTCGGAGTTGGAATCTTCGTTTTGATGCTGCAATCAAAGAGTTTGGTTTCAATCAAAACGAAGAGGAACCTTGTGTTTACAAGAAATTGAGTGGGAGTGCAATCACTTTCCTAGTCCTATATGTAGATGACATACTTCTCATTGGGAATGATGTTCCAATGCTTTCGTCTGTAAAGGCTTGGCTTGGAAAGTGTTTCTCAATGAAAGACTTGGGTGATGCATCCTATGTGTTAGGGATCAAGATCTATAGAGATAGATCTAGAAAAATAATAGGACTAAGTCAAAGTAACTACATTGACAAGGTCCTGCATAGGTTCAATATGCAAGATTCCAAGAGAGGATTCTTGCCTATGTCACATGGCACATATCTTAGCAAGACTCAGTGTCCACAAACACAAGATGAGCGAGATCGGATGAATAGAGTCCCTTATGCTTCTGCTATAGGTTCTATCATGTATGCTATGTTATGTACTCGCCCTGATATAGCTTGCGCTCTAAGCATGACTAGTAGATACCAGTCAGATCCAGGTGATAGTCACTGGATAGCAGTCAAGAATATTCTAAAGTACTTGAGAAGAACTAAGGATGTATTCTTGGTCTATGGTGGTGAAGATCAGCTCATTGTAAAAGGTTACACAGATGCTGGGTTCCAATCCGATAAGGATGATTTTAGATCGCAGTCATGATTTGTGTTTTGCCTCAATGGCGGAGCAGTGAGCTGGAAGAGTTCTAAACAAGACACGGTGGCTGATTCTACAACAGAAGCTGAGTACATTGCTGCTTCAGAAGCAGCAAAAGAAGCGGTATGGATAAGAAAATTCATCATTGAGCTCGGTGTGGTTCCTAGCATTGTTGGACCAATGGACTTGTATTGTGATAACAATGGAGCCATTGTACAAGCCAAGGAACCTAGATCGCACCAGAAATCAAATCATGTACTCAGACGCTATCATCTCATTCGAGAAATAGTCAATAGAGGTGACGTCAAGATATGCAAAGTACCGACAGATTCAAATGTGGCTGACCCGCTCACCAAGCCACTACCACAAGCAAAGCATGAACGTCATACTAGTGCATTAGGCATTCGTTTTGTTCACGATTGGTCCTAGTGCAAGTGGGAGACTGTTGGAAATATGCCCTAGGACAATCATAGTTTATGATTTATCAATAAATATTTAATGCTCATTAATTAATAAAGTTGCAAACTCATTTTATGTTAATTATTATTGTGAGTTTTCTTTATTAATATTTAGTCCCTGAATATTCTGTTTAGTAGCTAATTAAGTATGTGACTTAATTGTGGAATGCTACACTTTAAAATAAACATAATATTCTAATTGTCCCTGGTCTAATATTATTAATTTGGGACATTAATAATTAATAGACCAGTATGTGGATTAACTGATGGCTACATTCCACTAGTCATGGGTATAGAGATATCAAGTTAATAACATAGATGCTTGTTAGGGAACAAGTTCATTGGACAGACCCAACTTGGGGACACTGCTAGGTTATATGTCATCAGTGTTGTCCTCAATAATGATGAGGTGCTATATTCTTATACTTGAGATAATCATGGTTACTAGCATGAGAATTAATATGTATTAACACCATTAAACGTTATCTTTAACTGGATAATTATAAAGGTGGTGATTGTACATATTATGAACCATGTAGTAGTATGTGAATTATCAAGATAGTTTTTGTCACTCTTGTACATCGAGAGAAATATATCTATTGGGCCCCTTGACAAGTAAGATTAATTAGCATGGCCATGCTCAAATGAGGTGTCATTTGATCAAGATTAATCTTACTTGGTAATCAAGAAATATTAATTGAGAATAACAAGGATGACACGACCTAACCTTGTCTCAATTAAGATATCGTTTGACAAAAGAGAATTGTTAGCACAAATTAATCATTAAAAGGTTATGTCAGATTTAATTGACATTTATATATTTTGGATAGTCATAATGCCTTGCTAGAGACCGCTTATGATTTGTGAAGCTCGAATTAATTTCTAGCCCACTACCAATAATATATAAACCTACAGGGTCACACACCTAAGTGATTTGGATCATTAATGTTTGTTAATAACATTAAAATAGCTTGATTAGCCCAATTCGAAATAGGTTTTCGAATGGTATTGGGCTAGGGCCTCTTTAAGGGTTTTATTAGCCATAAAACCCCTTCTTTACTCCTCTTATAAATAGGGCCATATAGACCCACGAATTTTAAGAGTTAAAATTCACTTCTTAAACCTAGAGTAGAGAGGAAGAAAGAAGAGAACGCTAGCACGTTCCCTGCGGCCGATCCAGTCACGTGTGTGTGGATACCGGTAGAGCTCGGGATCGTTTTCTCGGACTGTCTGACATCCCTGATTAAGATTGTTATGTAAGTCTCTCTTAAATTCTTGTAATTTCGTTTATAATAAGAACCTCAGATCCGTTTGTTTACTTTTGGGTAGTAAAAATTTTAGTTTATTCCGCTGCGTTTTTCTGCCCGAAACCCAACAGTTAACTATGATGAAAACCAACTTGATGAAAAGTGGGAAGCTTATTTGAGAGTTAGGGTCCGTATGGATGTGGAAAACCTCTGAGAAAATGAACAACACTTAAGAAAGGAGAGGTTGGCCACTGGGTAGATTTCAAGTATGAGAAGCTACCCAATTTTGTTTTATCTGTAGAATTATTGGTCATTCTGATAAATTTTGTCCATTGACATATGATGATAACCCGATTTTATTTTTGCGAGGAGGATAACATGATTTTGGGAAAAAACATTTGGGGTGAACCTTAGAGCTGGAGGAGGGGGAAGACTAGTCCTACATGAGGTAACAAGTGGCTAGTCGTTGGGTCCTCTAGCTCAAGTTTGGGAGTCCCACTTAAAGAGGACAACAAATCAGATGGTAAAGCAGGAGGGGGCTGGAAGGAATCCACGTCGGGGCACATGTAATAGCACGACTAGAGATGGGGAGTTTGAGAGTACTGAGGAAATGTTAGGGGAACAAAAGCGGAAGAAGAATCTGGGAAGCTCAGGCAAAAGAGGATCCAATTGATGATAACATGGCTCTGGACAGGCAAAAAAACGGGGAGGAGGCGGGCTCCGACATGTAGGCCCGCCGAAGTTTCAGTGTCAATGGGGACGGTGGTGGTGCTCTGGAAGACGAAGCACGATATTTACTTTTTTGCCTTGGATTATTAGCTTATTTTATCCCAAACTATCATCAAATTCACGAATGTATCCTATACTTTTACCTTTATAAAAAAGACTCAAACTTCATTTTTTCGAACAATTTTTTTTCTTTTCAAAATTACACATTTTTATCAATACCAATAAGATATAAGCAATACAAGTTTGTAAACTTAAAACTAGAAAGAAGTGAAAATATGAAACATAAATATGATTTTCTTCTCAAGTTTTATTAATTGATCCATTGACAGCGTAATTGTGAAGAAAGTTAAAGTTTATATTTTTTTTAAATAAAAGTGAAAGAATGAAATAGATTTGTGAATTTGATGACATTTAGAGATATATGTAGCTACTAATCCTTTTGCCTTTCTGTTTTTTAATTTCCTGGAGCATATTGTTTACTTTCATCTTTGTTCTTTCCTTTGTTGTAGGATTGTGGGTTTAGATTTCGGTGACAGAAGATCTGCTTTAACCATCTTTGGTTCATATTTAAGCCTATTTCTTCCAAAAAAAATGAAATTATGCATTTTTTAAACTTGTTATGTGTTGAAAATTATGAGCCCGTTTGGTAGCACCAAAATCGGTTGTTTTGGCTGATTCTGCTGAAATTTATCAAGTTCTGACTGAAGTGGCTGCATTGACTGATTCTGCTGATTTAAGAAAAACTTATTTTTTAAATATATTTTATTAATAAAATAAAGAAAAATTATATATAAAAATAGCTAAAATAGTCATCTACAGTAACTTCAGCAATACAACCAGAAAAGTAAATTCAACGTTACCTTTTTTGCTTAATGGCTGATAAGACGAAAAATATTGTTGTCAATGTGAAACTTTTTTTGCTTAATGGCTGATAAGACGAAAAATATTGTTGTCAATGTGAAACTTAACATTAATTGCTTTTCTTCGCGTAATTACGATGCAAAACAGCTGCACTATGAGCCGTGCACGGACAGCATCCCTAAATAACCTCAGACCCCGCTCCGCTTTCACCGCTCATTCATTTTTGACTCTCATTTTCTTCCCTGCTTTTACCCCGAGTCTCTCAAAATATTCTTACCCAAAGCCGCCATTAACTGGCAGATTTGTTTCTTCTTTCTTATCCTGCACCTGGAACAGCTTACCTCCGCATTCAGATCCGTCACCTTTCGTGTTTTAGAGAGTGAAACAGAAAGGTTAGGGCGACTATTAGTAAATCTTTCTGTAACTGTACTTCTTTTTCTTTGAATATTTGAAGCTTTCTCGAAGCTGGATTTGTAGGAGGGAGGTTAGTAAACACTTTTAACAACTCTCATTTACTCGGTCTTCAGACTCTCTCTTCAATCCGTTGAAAAACTTGGATAGAGACATGCATACAACGAAGGAATAAATAATGGGCTGTTTCGTTTTGACTTGATATTCTTCCTCTCATTAATTAATTAATAGTTTATATGTGTGTGTGTGTATATACACATATTGTATATGTATATATACACATACCATACATACATATATGGTGCAATTAAGACGGAAAAAAGAGAAATTTGTGGCTGAGTCGTGATTGTATAGCATATTGGTAGTGGGCCCATGGTTATATATGCAAAAGCCTCATTACAGTTGTAAATTGTTATGCCCTGACTAGGCACATCCGTGTATGTCCTGCAGTATTTTGTATGCGGCCGCTTCACATTATACATACGGGTTTCCGGTTTTGAATGTTTCTGACACGCTTTTGGCCTTGATTTGTATGTTCCTTTATTAGTGTTGGTAACTAGTGGAGGCCATATACGTGCATATCATGGAATCATGCTTTGTTTAAGAGATTCGTGTGTGATCAAAGATCTGGTCTCTGCATATACTTATTTGAGCTGCATTCTTTATCAAGGTTTGAATCTATTCATCTTCTAGAGGAAAGCTGTCTGATCTCTTCCTTTTGTGTAGTGGATATATGACATTCAATTTTTTTTTCTAGTGTAAATTCTTCAAAGTTGGGGTCTTGGTGTTATTGATGCTGCTTAAACATTCTCTTTTGAGCTTTGAAGGGGTGATGGATCTTGCTTTCTTTATTAATTCACTGTATAGAGCTCTAAATAATCTTCATCTTAATTCGCAACTGTTTTTAATTCTAAATTCATGCGTTTTCGTGTCTATCTGGTCTTTGGCAGGTAAACAATTGAAGTAGCATTATATTGATTCACACCACCACAATATGGATGGAAAATCATTCAAAGCACCGCCTCCGGACTCACAAATGGGAAAACTCCAAGGGGGTGGTCCTTCAGTGACCTTTGCAAGGAGGACATCATCGGGGCGGTATGTGAACCTATCAAGGGACTCGCTTGACAGTGAAATAAGCGGTGTGGAGTTCGCAAACTACACAGTACACATCCCGCCTACGCCCGATAACCAACCCATGGACCCATCCATTTCCCAACGGGTGGAGGAGCAGTATGTGTCCAATTCTTTGTTCACAGGAGGGTACAACAGTGTCACACGTGCTCACCTCATGGACAAGGTGATCGAGTCAGAAGCCAACAACCATCCTCAAATGGCAGGGGTAAAAGGGTCTTCTTGTGCGATACCGGGTTGTGACGGGAAGGTGATGCGTGACGAACGGGGTGACGACCTTCTTCCATGCGAGTGTGACTTCAAGATTTGTAGGGATTGCTACATAGACGCTGTGAAAACGGGTGGTGATGGGATTTGTCCTGGCTGTAAAGAGGCTTATAAGAACACTGATTTGGATAAGAACGCCGTCGATCCAATCAGGCAACAGCCTTTGTCTTTGCCGTCTAATGTTGGGATGTCTAAGATGGAGAGAAGGTTGTCGTTGATGAAATCCGGGAGTAAGTCTGCACTGGTAAGAAGTCAGTCTGGGTTGACTAGGAGTCAAACGGGGGATTTTGATCATAATAGATGGTTGTTTGAGACGAAAGGGACTTATGGTTATGGTAATGCTATATGGCCAAAGGGGGAAGAAGGTGGATCTGGAAATGAGAAAGGTGATGAGCCTTCTGAACTTCTTAACAAGCCATGGAGACCCCTCACTCGAAAACTGAAGATACCTGCTGCTGTTATCAGTCCGTATCGGTGAGCCTTTGTTCCCATGTATTTTTGGGCTTTGTAATCTCAATATAATTATTCTCTTTTCATGTTTGCAAAAATATCACTAGGTTTCTCTCTCCTCCCTATATATACAGTATTTCATTTTTAGACCCTTGTAAAGTTAATTTTTTTCATGATTCATCTTTGTAGTTTTTGTTACTTACTCCCTTTTCACTAAACTTTGCCAAATTTACTTAATTAGTCATCCCAAAAAACTTTACCATTTCCATTTAAAGTAATAAATATGTTATATGTGGTCAAAACTGTTCTCTCTCCTCTACTTAAATCTTAGTCACACTCTTTTTACTTTATTACTATGTGCATGTCAATTTTGGGAATGTTTTACGGGACGGAGTAATTTTTATGCTGCATTTTGCATTCTCTGTCAGTCTTACTTTAAAAAGCTTACATGGATCACATAACTTCAGTATGTTATATTTCCACATTTCATAACATGTTTATTTTAAAAAAAGAGAGTTCTGTTTCAATAAAAGCACCTTTTAAAACAATTTTTCTGTCCAAAAGGAATATGTTACATTTAGTTCCATTTAAACTAAAGGTATTATTATTATTTAAAATACATAAATGTAGGAACGATTATAATTTACAAGAGTTGTGCCTTGTGAAAACTTAAAAGTTATATCTTTAATTGGGAATGAGGGAGTACTATATTTTTTCTAGGCCAGTAGGCCCTTTGATTTCTTTCTTACTTTGAATTGGCTCACAGCTGAGGAAGGCTCACTATTAGTAGTCAATTACTACAGTAAATGAAAGAATGATTTCATCACAGCGGAGGAAGGCTCACTGAATAAGGTGACTGTCCACAACCTCCCTCCATAGAGAACTGAGAAAAACCATTCTCATTTTCAACCTCCCTAGAACTTTTTTGGATTGAGGGAGTATTATAAGTTATAACTTATATTTAGTGTTTATACCAAAAAGGAAAAAGAAATGGAGCTTTCACCAATAAATACTGGTCTTAAGGCACTTAACAGTGACCAGAGATCTGACTATCCAAGTGAACCCAACGCCTAAAAATGTCAATTTTTATGTTGACACTACAAATTTCATGCTACTGAACCCAACATAGTCACCGGGATCAAGGTGATAATGATGACGGTCAAAATTATTCTAATGTGCTGAAAAAGCATCTTTTATGTTGTTACTCCTTAAGTCCTTATATCGTTTTCTTGATTATGACAGGCTCTTGATTCTGATTCGGGTCATTGTGCTTGGATTGTTCCTTGCATGGAGAGTCAGCCATCCAAACAATGACGCAATATGGCTATGGTACATGTCAATCATATGTGAAATTTGGTTTGCCTTCTCCTGGCTGTTAGATCAACTTCCCAAGTTATGCCCAATCAACCGTGCAACTGACCTCAATGTCCTAAAAGAGAAATTTGAAACTCCTTCTCCCGCTAATCCTTCTGGAAAATCCGATCTCCCGGGTCTCGACATCTTTGTCTCAACTGCAGATCCAGAAAAGGAGCCACCCCTTGTCACTGCTAATACCATCCTCTCTATTCTTGCTGCGGACTATCCGGTTGAGAAGCTCTCTTGTTATGTCTCCGATGATGGTGGGGCCCTCCTCACTTTTGAAGCCATGGCTGAAGCTGCAAGTTTTGCAAACATATGGGTCCCGTTTTGCAGGAAACACAGCATTGAACCTAGGAATCCGGAGACCTACTTTAACATGAAAAGGGACCCGTACAAGAATAAGGTCCGTCCTGATTTTGTTAAGGACCGCAGACGGGCAAAACGGGAGTACGATGAGTTTAAGGTTAGGATTAATGGTCTGCCGGATTCTATACGTAGACGGTCTGATGCTTATAATGCCCGCGAAGAGATTAAGGCTATGAAACTTCAAAGAGAGGCGGCCGGTGATGAATTCTTGGAGCCTATTAAAATCACCAAGGCCACTTGGATGGCAGATGGGACTCACTGGCCTGGCACGTGGAATGCTTCCGCCCATGAGCATTCAAGAGGTGATCATGCTGGAATTATTCAGGTAATAATCTCATTTGCACAACAACACAAATTCTAAACTAATTCACTGGGAAAAATTCTAAAATACATCAAAGTACTGCTACTTTTTCTTTTGTTCTACTTGATTAATCTCCCCCTGCTTATGTACGGAGTAATATTTTGTTGGTTTTTGTTTGTGTGGTGTTGTAAGGCTGTGTTCGAAAAACAAGTTTGAGAAGATTACTGATAAGTCACAACCTCTGCCCCCACTACCCTTTTTTAGTTTAGGCAATGTTCAATGTCATAAATCTCAATTATCATACGGAGTACTAATATTTATAAAACCTATTTGTTGGTTTAACTAAATTTAACATATACTATGTATTACTTCTCTATGACTTCACAAATTACATTTAAATATTTTTTAATGAGGTTAAAAAGATGGATCTGCAAACCAAAATCTCATGTTACTTATTTGAAACTCTAATCAAGAAAATCTTATTGAACAAGTTTTGAGTATGAAATAAGTTCCTCGTTCCAAACCCTACTTATTTGAAAGATTCTTTTGAAAAACCCATTCGACGATAGTTTGTGAAGGGCCTTATTGTCTAACTTCCTTATTGTTGTCGACCGCATTGTAGGTGATGTTGAAACCACCAAGTGATGAACCACTGCACGGGAACACTACTGGCGAAGGCAACACCGCCATCGATTTGACAGAAGTTGATATTCGGCTACCGTTACTGGTCTACGTTTCCCGCGAGAAACGGCCCGGCTATGATCACAACAAGAAGGCTGGGGCAATGAATGCCTTAGTCCGGGCTGCAGCAATCATGTCCAATGGCCCGTTTATCCTCAACCTCGACTGTGATCACTATGTTTACAACTCACAAGCAATAAGAGAAGGAATGTGCTTCATGATGGACCGCGGTGGTGACCGTTTATGCTACGTCCAGTTCCCTCAAAGGTTTGAGGGAATTGATCCGTCTGACCGTTACGCAAACCACAACACGGTTTTCTTTGACGTCAACATGCGTGCCTTGGACGGCTTGCAGGGTCCGGTTTATGTGGGTACGGGATGTCTCTTCCGCCGGACTGCTCTTTACGGGTTTGATCCGCCAAGAAACAAGGAATACCAACCCAGTTGCTGTACCCGTCGGAAGAAACGGTCACGTGCCAGTGTAGCCGCTGATCAGGAGGAGGAGGATAGGGGTCTTAAGATGAGTGATTTTGATGACGAGGAGATGAATTTTGATGCTTTCCCCAAAAGGTTCGGTAACTCGAGCCTTCTCATTGATTCGATCCCAGTTGCTGAGTTCCAAGGTAGACCGCTTGCTGATCACCCGGCAGTTAAAAATGGGCGCCCTCCCGGTGCCTTGACCATTCCCAGAGACCTTCTGGATGCGTCCACAGTTGCCGAAGCCATCAGTGTCATCTCGTGTTGGTACGAGGACAAGACAGAATGGGGTAACCGGGTTGGGTGGATATACGGATCTGTGACAGAAGATGTGGTGACAGGTTACCGGATGCACAACCGTGGGTGGAGATCTGTGTATTGCGTCACTAAGAGAGATGCATTCCGTGGGACGGCACCCATCAACCTGACAGACAGGCTCCATCAAGTTCTGCGGTGGGCTACCGGTTCCGTGGAGATCTTCTTTTCCCGGAACAACGCTCTGCTGGCCAGCCCCAAGATGAAAATACTGCAGAGAATCGCGTACCTCAACGTCGGCATCTACCCATTCACCTCCTTGTTCCTCATCGTCTATTGCTTCCTTCCGGCCCTCTCATTGTTCTCAGGTCAGTTTATAGTCCAAACCCTCAACGTTACGTTCCTCACGTACCTGCTAGTCATCACTCTGACACTGTGCATGCTTGCTGTTCTCGAGATCAAGTGGTCGGGAATCAACCTGGAGGAGTGGTGGCGGAACGAGCAGTTTTGGCTGATTGGGGGGACAAGCGCCCACCTGGCCGCTGTTCTACAGGGTCTGCTCAAAGTGGTGGCTGGGATAGAGATTTCCTTCACCCTCACTTCCAAGTCAGCCGGGGACGAGAATGACGATGAATTTGCTGATCTTTACATTATCAAATGGAGTTCACTTATGATCCCACCCATCACCATCATGATGACCAATTTGATTGCGATAGCTGTAGGGTTTAGTAGAACCATATACAGTACCATCCCACAATGGAGCCGTTTGATCGGGGGTGTGTTCTTTAGTTTCTGGGTTTTGGCTCACCTTTACCCCTTTGCTAAAGGGCTAATGGGAAGAAGAGGTAGGACACCCACTATTGTGTTTGTTTGGTCAGGCCTTATTGCTATTACCATATCACTCCTTTGGGTCGCCATCAATCCTCCATCTGGTACTTCTGAAATTGGTGGCTCATTCCAGTTCCCTTGATTTATTAGTATTCTTATTGTTATTATACGTAGTATTTATTATTTATTATTATTATTATTATTATTATTATTATTATTATTATTATGGGCTTTTGCCCTTGATATTACTAATTTCAGGACCAATTCTATAAAAGTGAGTACATTTATAAAAAGACAGAAAAGTGAGTAGCGGCTAACATTTTTGGGAAACTTCAAGTAATTTTTTTTGAGGGAAACAGTATTAATTATCATTGATAAAATCACTGTTCAATACATGTAAAATAAAATCAGGGGGAGAACCACTCCAAGAAATACAATCAGACATGGAACAAGCTGCTTGGGCCAACCTGTGAGCCGCTTTGTTCGTTGACCGTCGAACATAAGAGAAAAAGACATCTCCGTAAACCATGACCTCTGCTCTCTAATATCCTCAGCAATCACACCAGCCATTGAATCTAGGGATGGACTCGGGCCGGGCCAACCGGCCCGGAACCGGACCGGCCCGCTACTGTGCGGGCCCGGACCGGCCCGGTCAACCGGTTCGGTTCCGGTTCGGGCCCCCAGGCCCGGTGGTATACCGGTCCGGGCCCGGGCCTCCAGTTTAGTGAACCGGCCCGGCCGGGCCGGGCCCGGTTCGGGCCGGAATTTAATTTTTTTTTTTTTTTTTTGAAATTTTTTTAAGTTTTGGGTTGGATTAGGTATTTTGGGCCATTTGAGGTGGTTTGGGGTGGTTTGGGGTGGAGGGGGAGGGGTAGGGGGTTAAATAAGAGAAGAAGAAGAAAAAAAAAAAACATTCCGGGTGGCCCGGCCCGGCCCGGTTCTGGCCCGGAACCGGAACCGCCCACCACCGGTTCGGGCCCGGGCCTCCTTTTTCTGAATCGAGGCCCGGCCGGGCCCAGGCCCGAACCGGGCCCGAACCGGAACCGGTCCACCCCTAATTGAATCACTTTTGCCCTCAATTATTTCTGAAATCGCTCTGGAGGCGTCCGATTCTATGTCAATGAAATCCCAACCGTTGTTCTTTAACCCAACTGAGAGCTTCCCGAATTGCGACCAGCTCTGCCTCCCATGGTGTCAACTTACCACCCCAGGGCTTAGCCACACCCGTTACAAAGTCACCCCGATCATTGCGAATGAGCCATCCAAACCCGCTACCAAAATCCTTTACAGCAGCATCTACGTTAAGTTTCATTCTCCCTGGCGCTGGCCTCCTCCACACCGAAGTACCAACATCAACCTGGTCATCTTGCCTCCAACCAGCCCTCCACTAAAATTCGGGACTTAATTAGGATCGATTTTGCATCAGCTTCAAGTAATATTAATACGGAGTATAACGGAGTGACTTAAAAGTTAAACGGCTTCTTCCACAATTCGACGAATACATTAAAAACACAAATCATACTGCATACTTTGTATAAAGACATGTTATTTCGAATAAAAAATTATGATTCATTTCGGATAAAAACGAAAGATCCAGAGATCGTTTTCTTATATGACTAATCTAAAGTGACATTATCATAGTTACACATATTTCGATCATAGTGACATCGCCACAGTGACGCCGCCACAGTGATGCTGCTATAGTGACGCCGCCATAGTGATGCCGTCACAGTGACGCCGTCATAGTGACGCCACATCGTCACAATGATGTCTTTGCCACAGTGACACAATGGTTGCGGCCATGGTGACACAATGATTCCGGACATAGCAACAATGGTTCTGGCCACCGCCTATCAGCAACACCAACCACCATCCCTCACCTAGTCGCCGCCAAACAACAACGCCAGCCATGCATCATCCCCGCACCCAACCGCCGGTCCCGCAACTCTAATCCTTAGCCCTAACCTTTAGTCCCGACCAGTCACCGCCGCACCACCTTACCGCCGTCGACCACTGCCCTATCTCTAACTCGCCTCCCCAGCCCAACCACCTCCCCAGCCCCCTCCCATCCACCAGCCGCTTTCCCAGCCCCCTCCCCACCCACCTTACATGAGTCACATGACTCACATCCCCCAACCACCTTCCCAGCCCCCTCCCACCCCCAGCCACCTCCCTAGCCCCCTCCCATCCCCAGCGACCTCCCCAGCCCCCAGCCACCCACAGAACAGTCTTGCTTCGTCTCGGACCCAGTCCAGCCCTCTCCAGGCGCCCCATAGCTGCCTTACGCCATCCCAATGGTTTTCAATCGCATCTAATCGCAGTGGAATCAATAGATCTTGCATCAAAATCCAATAGATCTCGTCACCCCTGCTCGATACATCGTTATCACCCCCGCCTGCGTTCGCCAATCACGGATCTGGAGGATTTCAATGGTTTGCTGCCATCCACAGAGTAACGAGAAGATAGGAAAGAGAGGAGAAGAATGGAGAATTTGTGCAGTCGGCGACGTCGTCGGACTGAGCGTTGGCGGTGTGGATGCGGCGGAGGCTGAGATGGAGGCTGTCGGTCGTCGGTCGGTCGTCGGTCGGGAGAAAGGCGTAGTCACAGGAAGAGATGCAGAGAATGAAAGATGGGGGAGACAGAACAAAGACGGGAGAGAGCGAACAATTGAGTGCCGTTTATTCTTAATCACTTTTTTATCTAACTGAAAATAAGTTATATATTTGTCTATTAAAACTCTGGTAGTAATATCCTGGTCATCATCATCATCATCATCACCACCACCACCACCACCACTTATATATATATCTATATATATATATATATATATATATATATATATATATATATATATATATATATATATATATAGAGGGCTCTTCTCATCAGGCCGGCCTGACGGGCTGCCCCGTCCGGCCGAGCCCGTTTGGGCACCTTCCCGGTCGAATTTTTTGATGAAATTTTTTGAGCATGTTCCTCATCAATTCTAGTTTGTCCATACCAAATTTCAGCTCAAAATTCGATCGGCAAGGTCGTCAAATGATTTTTGCAAGTTAACTGGTCCGGAAAATACATATTCCGGACTAGTTAACTTGCAAAAATCATTTGACGACCTTCCCGATCGAATTTTGAGCTGAAATTTGGTATGGACAAACTAGACTTGATGAGGAACATGCTCAAAAAAATTCATCAAAAAATTCCACCGGGAAGGTTCCCAAACGGGCTCGGCCGGACGGGGCAGCCCGTCAGGCCGGCCTGACATGAAGTTTTCTCTCTCTCTCTCTCTCTCTCTCTCTCTCTCTCTCTCTCTCTCTCTCTCTCTCTCTCTCTATATATATATATATATATATATATATATATATATATATATATATATATATATATATATATATATATATATATATATATATACAGAGAGAGAGAGGACAATATGATAGCACTTGTTTTTTTTTATCTTGGCGGAACCTATAGTTCTTTTTGGCAACTCCATTGGGCATTGGGGGCGTGCACATTAGGGGTGGGTTCGGTTTTGACCTAAAACCAAATATCGAATCAAAGTAAAAAGTTCGGTTCGGTTTCGGTTCAGTTCGGTTCCACTCCAAAACTTGGAACCGCGGTTTGATTGGTTCGGGTTGTTTTGATTCGGTTTCGGTTTTTTTCAGGTTTTTACCAAAAAATTATCATTTGATTTAAAATTGATATAATATGTTGAGGGATTAAACATATTACATAAATAATGCAAGCACAATAAATAAAAATGAAAATAAATAAATAAATATGTCTTGAATTATATGAGTATGAGAGAGAAATAAAAGTATATATATTACGGAGTATTAATTTACATTGTTTATGACTAGCTCAAAAAAAGTTCATGAATATATATGTTCTATGTGATACAGTTGAGATGAATATTTACGGAGTATCAATATGAATTCTTTAAGTTAAATAAAAATAAAAGTCAATTAATACTAATAACATATTATCATCATTGAGTATAACTACATTATTACAGACAATGAATGTGTAAATGAATTTCTAAACTAAACTAAACACAAACATTATTTCTCTAGCACAAGAAAACCAAAGACTATTAATGATATTAGGATTAGTTAGGATTAATGGTTAACAATTGAAAAATAAATTTTATATTTTAATTAGTTCGGTTTGTTCGGTTCGGTCGGTTTTGAAGGGTAAAAACCAAAACCGAACCAAACAACTACGGTTCGGTTCAGTTTTTTACATTCGATTTCGATTTGTTAGCGGTTCGGTTTTATTTGACCACGGTTCGGTATAATTTGATTCCGTTTTCGGTTTTTCGGACCCAGCCCTACTGCACATTGTGTAATAACAAATTCAACCTCAATAACATCCGAGCTTTATTCTCAAATAAAGAGAAGAAAAATAAGAAGAATAAAAAGATAAAGTAAGATAAAATAGATAAGCTAAAGATAAATATGAGATAAAAATAACATGGGAAAGATATAATATAAAAGAGCATAAGAAAGAGGAAATAATTTAAATACCCCAAACTTTGAAGGGGTATTTAAGCACCCTAAACTTGCACATGTAATATATAGAGAAAAATAATTAAAATACCTCGAACTTTGAAGGGGTGTGAGGTAAGCACCCCAAACTTGCATATGTAATTTAAATACCTTAAACTTTATATAAAAAGTCATTTTAACACAATGTATTAATTTTTTTTAAAAAAGTTAATAATTGGTGTTAATTTCATACTTCGTAATTTAAAACATTTTAGCATTCATGAAGATGCAATTAGCATTCTAAACTTTCATTGTAAAATAAATAGTATTACCCCACCCCCACCCCAAACTCTATAAAATTGCAATGTTTTCAATTTGCTAATTTAAATTATGAAATTAGCCGCATAAATTTTTGGAATGATACATGATGGAGTATATGGACTCCGACCCCCCGGTCTGCCGACTACTGGGCCTGGACAGCGGCCCACACACGCTTAGCGGATTCTTATTATTGTACATTATTATTATTCAGATGTTCTAGATTAGCTTTTTATACTATCAGTCCATTTATGTAACCGGGTCTGTCAGACCCATATTAGAGGCTCAGACCCGGATTTTCCCTATATATACTCATTATAGGAGGCTTGTAAACATAACTCACAATTCATTCAACATTATACACATTCTTCTTCTCCATTACTCTTCTTGATTATTGTTCAATCTCTCCTTAGTTGTAGGATATGGGTATCAATTATCCAGCAATGGTGCTCTCGTTGAGAGGTTTGAACACATCAAGTAAGAAACCCTCCCAAATTACCCAAAAATCTTCTCAATCACAAAAATTCAACCAAGAAATGTTCTGGAAAAAAATCAAAGATACAGCAAGAATAGATCGGGAATTTTAGATCTAGGGTTTTCAGATCCGTGCCAGATTGCCGGAGCCATCTTTGTCGCCGTCTTTTGTCGCCGTTGTCCATGCTGCCGTACGCCATCTGCTAAGCTCGCTGCACCAGTTGGAGTTCGCTGGGCCGTTCCCAAGAAGTACCATCACCGCTCCAGACCTCACATGTCATCCGTTTGCTCAATCTGTTTGGAGGGTGACATTGAAAGGCAGCCGCTGTAATCTTCGCCTGTACAGGTGTCGTCACTATTTCCGCTCATAGCTCCTCCTTTCCAGTCACCGGTCGTTCCTCCACTTCACCGGCCGCCGCTCGCGAGTCCACCTTGCCATTGACGTGGTCTGAGATATCTGCCGATTAAAGATTCGCCATTAATGGTGGCTTGGAGTTCATGAGAAGCAGATTCGATCCAAAGCTAGCTGGGGCCACCCTTTTTGTCCCGTCGCTAGTTCACCCCTTCTCTTCATACCGAGCTATCCACAACCATCCTCAGTTGTTGTTCGATGTGGCAGACCGGAACTGCGCACTGTTTGTTCTCATTCACCAACTATGGTGGTCAGTGTTGTTGCCTCACCACTTGTGATTGCAAAGTGTGGCTTCTTCTGGTACTGGTGAGCTGCGCAGATGATGGGCGAGCCGGCGTGGACATGGTTTGATATGCCAAGAGGCATATAACCAGTTGACCTATTCAACCATTCAACTCCCAACTCTAGTGGATAAAAGAGAGCGTACGTGGATGCATTCCTGCCAAGCCTATAAAGATTTAAAAAGACAAGTACTCTGTATTCTTTAATTTTAATACGAGTATTATTTATATTTATTTAAGTCGGTTTTTTGTCGGGCGAATGTCACACTATCACGCACTTATGATCAAATGCCTAGTAAAGTGTGGCTTGAGACCCATCACTAGGATTTAAAGCCCTGACTCTCAGGTACAAAGCCCTGACTCTCAGGCACGAAGACCGGTCTTAGTCATTCCTCGAGTGGCGACCGTTGCTTATGAATGGCTCACACATCCACTATACTAAGTATTTTATCATTACATTGGCAATCCACATTTCCACTATTTTCAAGTAACGAACTCCCGTTCGGAAACATAAATCCCAAGAAAAAGATTTTATATGTATGATAAATGTGTAGGTACAAAGATGATTTTACTCATTTTCACCTCGTCTCCACTCGCCTCAAAGAGTGGGGACTGAGGGACTGAGGGGTCAGAGTTTCTAGATGAGGAGAAAATATCACGCATGAGCAGGAACGAAAGATGAGTCATATGAAGACGGGTTGAGCTAGACAAAAGTGATTATGCCGGAGGAGGCCTGCCTTCCTTGTTTCATGTTGGGGGCGCTAGGTGTACTCTTTTTCCCTTTTATTAGGATTTTTTCCCACTGGGTTTTTTCCCAGTAAAGGTTTTTAACGAGGCACCTCCCCATCATGGACAAGGGTGGTGGTCCCCCGGCCGAAGAGGAAGAAACCAAAGACAGAAGAACGTTGCAGCTACAGTTTGGACTACTCCCTTTAACCTCGAGTACTCTCGTCTCAGGGAGTGGGGGACTCCTAATGGAGTATATGGACTCCGACCCCCCGGTCTGCCGACTATTGGGCCTGGACAGCGGCTCACACACGCTTAGCGGATTCTTATTATTGTACATTATTATTATTCAGCTGTTCTAGATTAGCTTTTTATACTATCAGTCCATTTATGTAACCGGGCCTGTCAGGCCCATATTAGAGGCTCAGACCCGGATTTTCCCTATATATACTCCTTATAGGAGGCTGGTAAACATAACTCACAATTCATTCAACATTATACACATTCTTCTTCTCCATTACTCTTCTTGATTATTGTTCAATCTCTCCTTAGTTGTAGGATATGTGTATCAATTATCCAACAATACATGACCATGGTGTTAAAATAACTTTTTATATAAAGTTTGGGGTATTTAAATTACATATGAAAGTTTGAAGTGTTTATCTCACACCTCTTCAAAGTGTGGGGTATTTTAATTGTTTTTCCCTAATATATATACTTTAAAATTTATATAAAAAGTTATGCTAGCACTCTGATCATATATTTTTTTACAAATGTAATTTTACAGGGTTAAATACAAAATTTAAAATGCACAAATTATTTATGATGATGAAACTAAAATTAAATTGCACCGGATGGAATATTATTTATTTCAGAAATGAACTTTTAGAATGTTAACTGGATTCTATCAAAGGTTAGAGTATTTTAAATTATGTAATTACTCCAAAATATTTGTATTTATAAAAAACATAAAATCATGGTGCGAAAACAGCTTTTTGTATAAAGCTCGGGTATCTTTATTTTTATATAATACTCCCTCCGTCCCTTTTTATTTAGCCAAACACCTTTTTTCAAGTCAAAGTTGTTCAACTTTGATTGATTATATATTTATACATGATAATATTGATAATATGAAAATTATATGAAAATGTTCTTTGTTGAAAATACTATCATAAAAGTATAAATTTATTATGCTTTACATAAATATGTTAATTAAAATAATGGATCAAAGTTAATCACCTTTGACTGGAAAAGTCAAAGATGGCTAAATAAAAAGGGACGGAGGTAGTATAAAGTAACAGAGTTGGACAACATTTGGAGGGGAAAATCCCGCCCAAGGGCAAAATAGAGAATTAACGAGAAAATTAAATTTGGTAATTAATTGTATTAATTGACAGTAGGAAAGAAGTGTACTACGTAAGTACGTATTATGCTAAGAGCATCTCCAATGCTAAAACGTTAACGGTGCATACGTGGCATGAGAAATAACCAATTAAAAAACAATAAATACAATATCTCTCTCCTTCTTTTCACGGTCTTATGTGTTTATGGTAAGTTTTTGTCTGCAATGTCAATCACAATGTCTACATCTAGACATTGTGTTTGACATTGTGAAGATAAACTTACCAAAATGATGTAAGATTCTTTAAATAAGGAGAGAGATATTGTATTTATTGTTTTTTTAATTGGTTATTTCTCATGCCACGTATGCACCGTTAACGTTTTAGCATTGGAGATGCTCTAAGTATGACAGCGTATATATGGGCAAAAAATTGACATATTTGAGTTTTTCCCCGAAATAATGATAATTAAATAAATAATTCCCAAAATGCTGCTGGGTTAAAAATAATTCCCAAAATACTGCCGGGTTAACCGTGGTTAAGGAAAGCCGCCACTTGAAGTGGCGGCTCTTCTCTTACATTACAAAAGCCACCACTCCAATTGGCAGCTCTTCTCTTATAGCACATTTTGTACATATATAAAACACAGTATGTTTCAACAATTTTTTTTAACTATCTTCCCATTTGAATTTTGAGCTGAAATTTGGTATGAATAAACTAGACTTGATGAGGAACGTGTTCAAAAAAATTCATCAAAAAAATTCACCGGGAAGACCCTATGATAGTGTTGTCCGCACGGGGGTTCCGGTCAGGACGTCGTGACAGGAATATGACATTTTTATGAAATTTGAGGTGCTTCCGAGTTGAATTTTTTGATGACATTTGGTGATCATGTTCTTCCTAAAGTGTAGGTTATGTTCACCGAATTTCAGATTAAAATTAAATCAAGAAGTTAGTTAAATTATTTATTGAAAAAACCTTCATTTTTAGGCCTAAAAGATTGTGCAATTTTCAAAATTTCTCCAAGAGTTTGCTTTATTATATTATTTAGATAATAAAAGGCCGGGCCTAACGGTCAATTTTTAAAAAAAAATCCATTTCTTTTTAAAAGGCCATTTGGGCTGTTGACCCACTTCCCAAACGGCTATATAGCCGTTGGGTGGGTAGCTGGGGGGGTCCGGGGCTATTGGGGGGTGGGGGTGGGGGTAAAAAAAAACCTATAAATACTCCTAATTTTAAACATTTTTTCACACCTCTTCTTCAACTCTTCCTAAATCCTACATTCCTACTCTCTACTCATATCTATATTCATCTTCTCAAATTCTCTTATTCTCCATTATATTTTATTTTACTATTTAATACTTATACAATTATTATATCTACTTATATATTAATTATCTACTTATAAATACATATACTATATTACTTATATTTCTTATCTACTTAATCTCTACTTATACTAATCTCTTCTTATATACCTGACCGGAGCCCCGTCCGGACTCCTCCATTTGGGGGCCTTCCCGGTGGTGTTTTTTTCTCAAATTTTTTGTGTAGGTTCCTCATCAAGTCTAGTTCATCCATACCAAATTTCAGCCAAAAATTCAACCGGGAAGATCGTCAAATGATTTTTTCAAGTTAACTGGTCCGGAAAATACATATTCCGGACCAGTTAACTTGCAAAAATCATTTGACGACCTTCCCGATTGAATTTTTGGCTGAAATTTGGTATGGATGAACTAGACTTGATGAGGAACCTACACAAAACATTTGAGCAAAAAATACCATCGGGAAGGCCCCCAAATGGAGGAGGCCGGACGGGGGGAGTGGTCCGGCCTGGCCGGACCTGAATATTAGTCATACTTTATATATTCAAGTATTAAATATATTTTATAAACTATTAGTATATACTTAATACATAATAATATCTACTTCTCTACTTATATTTCATATATACTTATTTTCTTATTCTCCAATCTCCAATTCTCCATTATACTCTAATATTTAATTCTTATACAATTATTATATCTACTTATATATTAATTATCTACTTATATCCACTTAATACATACATTCTACATCTACTTAATATATAGTTTATATATTAAAGTATAAAATATAAGTGTATTACTCATCTTATAGTAGTATACTTATATATTATATACTATAAACATTATATTATATATTAGTTACACTTTAATTAATATCACTTAAAATCATTCTATTACTCATTTACTCCCATTAATTACTATACACATTCATACATTTGTCTTATTAATTACATTTTGTATTAACATTACTTGATTAGTTAATTAGTATTCCCACTAATTGTTACATTTTTCATTATACTAATTAATTAGTTAATTAGTGTGACTTTCAATAGTAATTTTTAATAAATAGTAATTAAAATGTGAGTAATTAAATTATAACAACTTTTCAAATACTTTAGTTTAGTGAAAACTACTTAAATAAAATGTTAAGTACTTTAATTAAATGATTGAACTATTATTTTTTTCGTTCAAAGCCGAGATGATTTTGAAACGGGTTACCAAAGGAGAGATGGAGATGCGATGTCCGAAGAACAACTACAACAAGAATTGGCCCGACATAATAACCGCTTTCTACAACAACAACAAATCCCGACGACCATTGACGAAGAGGAGCTTGAGGATGAAGATGCGGAGGAAATGGAACCGGAGACGACCGAGGAGGAGGGTGCCGGCAGCCACGACGCCGACGAGCCTGCCTCATCCCAAACCGCCACCAGTAATAAAAAAAGTAAATCTAAACTAATGCCAAATAATTTTGATAAGTGGAAGGACGCACAAACCGGGTATTGGCACGCAACTTGCAAGTGGTGCAACAACAATTATAGCTTGGGGACCTCCGGCGGATCCGGCGGAACGGGGAAGCAAACTCAAATATCGAGGTTTGCGAATTCTCAACCTTTTGGTAAGAAAGCCCTGTTTGACAAACCGGTCAACCCGATGCCTTTCTCATGGCCCATTATGAATTTCCACCACCATGTAACTATTATCTTGACCAAGATGAATATAACATGTGGTCTCGTGTTATCGGGTTACCCCCCGCTCCGAGTGTGGGCCCCGCGTGGAATTTACTCTTCACGCAAAAGAAATAACAAAAATTTACAACCTCGTAAATTCATTACTAGACACGCCATGTTCAATACATAATTTACATAAAGGTAAATATATTTGGGGACAGTGTTACACTAACTTTGGGCGCCATGAACGATCCTCCCTTCGCTGTCCGCCTGGCTCCTGGTGTGCCTTCTTCTGCTGGTTTTGTCCCTTGTTGGCCGGCGCATGGTGGGGGTTGGACGAGGAGTTCTTCTTCTGCTTCTCCCCACCCTTCTTCTGGATCAGGAGCTCGTCGGCATCAGCGTGCCTGTCTCCGCGTCGGAGCGTCGCAAGGTATGACCGCGGAGGCTCAGTGAATAGACTCCGGGCGAAGTGACTTGGCCGAAGTGCTCCGCGGAGGAAGGCCAGGAGGGTGCGTTCATCGGCTCCCTCGCACTCGTCCACCTCCCTCGTCCAGCGATCGAGGAAGGCTCAGAGCGTCTCCTCCGATTGTTGTTTGATGGTCAGGAGGTGAGCCAAATGCTTCTTTGCACGCTTCCTCCCGGCAAAATGGGTGAGGAAGCGCTGAGCTAGGTCCTGCCATGAGTCGATGCTCCCCTCTGGAAGGTTGTTGAACCAATCATATGCTGGCCCCTCCAAGGTGGAGAGGAACCAGCGGCACATGTATTCCTCCAAGGCGTTGGTCATCATCATGTTGTTCTGGTAGCGAGTGAAGTGCTCCTGGGGATCAGTGCGGCCGTCATATGGCTTGATCGGATTCCCCTTATACTTCTCCGGGATGGGGGCGGAGAGCACCCTTGCAGAGAAGGGGGTCCTGGTTCGTATTTGGATGACGGGCTCGTCGCGTCGGTCGGCCAACTCCCTCTCTAGGGCGCTGACCTTACTCAGGAGCGCATCGTAATTGGGATGCTGGGAAGTATGGGCCGCTGCGCGCCCTGCAGCCTCCCGGGCCTCCATGTCAGCGAGGCGCTTTTCGAGGCGGGCAATGATCTCGTCCCTGGGGTCCCTGGTGGCCGCAGTGCCACCTAGCGGAGTTTGGATTCGGGCCGCGTGGGCCTGGTTGATCTGGTGACGCGCATCGTCGTCATCCAGCTTTCCTTTGCCTTTGTCATGTCGGGGCCGCTCCGTTGTCCGGGAGACGGATCCGAAGCTTTCCTT